CATCCACGTCCAATTAGCTGCTCTGAGCCTGTCACACGCTGGAACAGGAATAGCCATGTCTTCACCAGTGTCTCTGTGTTTGACTGACTCCTGACCTTCGCTGACTCAAGCACACGTGTTCAAGAACTTTAAAATTTACTTATTAAAGGGGCACTCTGTAACTTTTCTGGTGGATGGTCTGCCACCTGCTTGTCGTCGCTTGTTGAGATTTGATTTCTTAGCCTGAAATGTTCAATGGTTTGATATTAAACGTATGAAATAAGCAAATAATAACTATCTAATAAACACCACCAGACCAAGTTATTTATATGAGCTTTATTTTGAGTTATGTCATGGGCAGAACCAAAAGAAGGGAGTACACAGGAGAATACAATCAGTGCAGTCCAAGATTGACAAATAAAAAATACAATAAAATTCAAAATGGAGTGGGATGAATTAAGACTTATTTTAACCCACCAGTGTCAGAAAAGACATTACAGTTCAGATCTGTGGTGAGGCAATCCCATCCACAGTAAAAATGTATGTTATTCAATATATTGATCATTTTCAGCTGATGTCATGGTTAGAGGTGTGCAAAAATACTGAAATATATATATTGTATTGTTTCATTTGATGATACAGTGTCGGTATCATGGGGTACTGTATCGATATATCGCTAAGAGTATTTTTTGGTATATTTTACTCAAATATTTTGTTGCAACGCTACAATTTTGTTGCTTGTTTAGAGGTAGGAAACTTTCTTGTGAGACATTTGACATATTCACTGTTTTGATGATTAAAATGGTTGTGTTTCATATTCATTTTGCACAAGAGGTGGTTTAACAAAGACTTTTAGTATCACACCCATGATTTAGCCTTTATTTTTTATTGAACCGTATCGAATCGATTTGAAATATATCATATTGAATTGAAAGCTCACTGTATCGAGATATGTGTCATATCATGGCGTATGTATCGATGTATGTATCATATCGGTAACTTCTTAACGATACCCAGCCCTAGTCATGGTTGTGTGATGCTAACTGTAAGCACTGCTCTATCTAAGTCTTGTTAGACTGTTATCTGAGTTTTATTTAAACACAGTCTGATGAGAAAACTGATTCAGATGAGCTGGTTTGTGCTATTAAACAAGTCTTTTTCAAATAACATTACAGTTTTGCAATTAGGCACTCTCACCTTTTTGTAAAAAACCAAAACACTTCAACACACTTGATCACAGGTTCCTGAAAATATACTGGTTAAATCCATTTTGTAATTAGATTGAGTTTTCAGACTATCTAAAAACTTTTTTGGCTTTGTTTGCTAATGTGTGCATTGCTTCACCATGGCAATAGATGAACATTCCGCCATACACAGCTATGTGGAACACCCCCAGCGTGATGTCCCTGCAACGTATCAATTGTTTTGCACCTGAAATGGTAGAGTGACGCTTTATGCAAAGACATAACATCTCCACAGAAACAAGAATGTCTCAGACCTTCCTCTTTAAATCACACATCACATTCATTCATGTAATTCAAGTGTTTTCCTCAAAGACACAATGGCACAGTGCAGCAAGCAAGACTCCAATCACTCGCCCTTTTACTGTTAGAAAAAAGCTAAACTCTGACAATTTAATCCACAGTTAAAGTTGTTGTTGAAATGTCTATTCATAATCATAATTCCCATTGGAGCTTGGATTTTTACAATAAAATGATGTTAAGCTCAGTTATTTTAAAGCAAAACCTGCCACTCGATCACTTCAGACCACCTCCCTTGCTTTATAATTGAGTGGTGCTTAAATAAATATAAAGTATCTTAAGTAGCTTTACAGTGAAATGGAAAATCCCTTTAACATCTCTGGCTCTGCACATCTCACTTAAGCCTGGATAAGTGTTGGCAACTTTAAACCGCTGAATGGAAAACGTGTCACTCAAAAGTACTTCAAACCAGTCAAATACAAGTGTACTTTGGTTTTGTACTTCTGTCTCTTCCAGCTTTACATAGTCTGTGTGGTAGACAGACCGCAGATTGGTAGTCCTGTCTGCTATTGTAAGTGCCAGGGCAGTTGTGGCTACAGACACAGCAGCAGCAAAAATCCAATGCTAATGAGTTTTGCAATCCTCGTTAAAGGGCCCATTTTACTCTTATTTTCTGATCTATGATGTAATGTTTCCTCATCAGAAACATACCTGGAGTTGTGGAGTTGAGTATCAGTTTTTTTGTGATATCTCTTACGGTTTGCCCATAGCACGCCACACACGCAATTGTGTGATCCTGGCCTGAATGTAATTGACTATGAAGGCTAATACAGCTGAACACGATAGCGCCCCCTACCATAGACATGAAAACATGATCGGATTTGGACCAAATTTGGGGATTACATTCTATGCATGACTACAGGTAAAACAATATATTATGGACATGGAGCTTTTCTCACAGTTGGTCAGCACGAGTGCAAAGAGTCCAGAAAAACAAAAACATTTTAAAGGTGCACTGTGTAATTTTTTTCTGATGGAGGATCTGTGGGCGTGGGCAGCTGTCGGGAAGGGACATGGCGGGCGGTCGCGCGGGAGAGGCGTGCCTGCTAGGGTCAGGGCCATCATTGCCGTGAGCTGCTTTACTTTTTCTTTATGTTTACTACTTTCTGCATTTGATATACATATGTGTGTGTCTGCGTGTGTGTGTGTGTATACATTTAGCAATACTATTTACATATTTAAAAATATATATGCACTATGTAATTTTTCTGGTGGCATTAAATATCTCTTCCTTACATTTATTAAACATCACATATTGTGCTTGAACCTGCTGTATAGTTAAAATGTACAACACCCGTGCATCATTATGTTATTATTTACACAAATCTCGATAGTACTCTAAAACAATTTAATTAAAGCAACAGTCCGCAGACTACCGCTTTAGAAAGCACAGAAAGACGTCCTCTGCACACGACACACAGGCATCTACACAGACACCTGTCCCAGGGCCTCTGGGGCACTGTCTAAATAAAATGTAAACATTCTTCTGTGGCTTCCTTTCCACCCTGTCTGAAGTGGAGATGTTGATTTATGTACTTATCCTAAAGGAAAGCAGTGAGAGCAAGGTTTGTCTATCTGCGATGTACACAGACAGTTACTCATGTCTCGTTGGAATCAGTCCAAACAGGCCGTGTGAGTCCAGGACAGTGTACGCCTACCACTACATTCACACATATGAACTGACACGCCCACTTAGTCTCATACATACCACTGGGATGATTTCATAAAATGATACGCACTCTAAAGAAACCCGGATACAGCATTTAAAAAGAAATACCAAGTTTATTAAGTTGGAGGGTAAATGAGAAGGGGGGACAACTATAACATGATTAAAAGCTCTGAAAAGTCGATTTTGCATAAGGTGTCCTGTAAAGTGCATGTGGTTTTATAGCTCAAAAATAACTAGTAAAACAGACATTCTGACTGTAAGCGAAGCGGGGTTGCCTCTCCACAGATCTGACCTTTAACTTGGTCTGGTTTAGTCTCCATGATGATAGAAAGGTTTAATACCATACTGTGAAATATTCTTCACAAAGCAGTTACATCTCCATGGAGAAAAGTGTTTGACAAAGCTTCCACCATAAAAGTTACACAGTGCACCTTAGCATTCTCTCAAAGATATATCTGATGAAGTCTAAAAACTATTCTTGAGTTTATTTTTGTTTGCTCCATTCCACACTTGTTCATTCTTAGTTCTGATGCTTTCAAAGAGAATGTATAATGTAAATAATCAAGGAAATGAAGAAGAAGCATAAATAAAAATCCAAACTTTTGAGTGCCAGTGTATCTTGTGGAAAACTTTGAAAACCACATTCTTACAATTCAGCGCTCGGCTCACCATAGCAGCTTCTCCCTCTTCATATAATGCACCTCCTATAACCCAATCACCCCACAGTCTCTGGAAAACAAACTGCTAATGGTATTTTCAAGAGTGCGTGGACAGCCCTGCGCTCATATCAAGACTGTGTACATCCAGTAAGTATGGCTTTTACCCTGTCTGCTGCTCCGACAGGGGCAGACAGGTGAACCAGACACAGGGCCCGAGTCCAGATTGATTTTTCATTTGTGTTTGATCAGCTCGTCTGGGTCTTCTTGTTTCTGTCTGCACCAGACCTCACTTAAAAGTCAATGTTGCGTTTAACACTGTTTTGTATGACTGGAAATCCCAATAATGTCTCCACCAAGGGTTTTCTTTCTTTTCCTTAAAGCAAAGCGGAAAGCAGATGCACGCCATGGGTCTCCTCACAACATCAAGAATCACTTTACTCGTCATGGTTTTGAAATAGTTCTGTGTTCTCAGGTAGCTTCAAGTTAAAGGAATGTTTTAGATTCATTGTGGTGGAGCGTCTACCACCTGCTTTTCTCATTCAACCTTTCTATTTTCATGGAGACCAAACTAGACCAAGTTATAGGTCAGATCTGTGGGGAGGCAATCCTGTTCAGTCAGAATGCCTTTTTTCTAGATATTTTGGAGCAGTTTTTGAGCAATAAAACCACCTGCGATTGAATAAATGCAAGGTAAATCTGTGTAATATCATATTGTGGAACATTTGAAGCAGAGTAATGACGGAAGGTGATGGACCTCCAACCAAAAATGTACATACAATCTACAATTTTTGAGCCCATATGATTATGTGGCCAACACCCAATTCTCAAGTAACAAACATCCATTAAAAAAAGGGAAAAAAAAGAAAAGAAAAGACATAACAAGGTCCACAATTGTGTGTTAAGCTACATCCAAATTAACATTTCACTCATGTAAAAATGATTACAAAATGTATTTATTGGCAAACATATTTTCAGCCCTAAAAAAATCAAAAATCAAAAATATAATGAACCTACATGTTTTAGTAAAATAAGAAGTCCAAGCTGTTACAAGCCCAAATAATGTACGCAAACGTGAATCCATGATCCAAAGGGAAAGCGTCAGATATGTTTCCCACCTGTAACTGTGCTCTCTTCTGCCCCCTGTCTGTGCAGAGGTGTGCGAGGTGGACTGTGGCACCCATGGCGTCTGTTATGGAGGAGTGTGTCGATGTGAGGAGGGCTGGACGGGAAGCGTGTGCGACCAAAAAGCCTGTCACCCGCTGTGCACCAAGAACGGAGTGTGTAAGGAGGGCAAATGTGAGTGCGACCAGGGCTGGACCGGAGAGCACTGCAACATCGGTGAGTCACACTAATGCAATGATGTGTTTGTATTTACTGCACGGTTGATGGATAATGCTATGTATCTGCATGACACGAAAATGTATAAACTTTCTGTCTTCTTTTAGCAGCGAAAATCAACTGTAATTTAATTTTTTATTTTTTCTTATGGTCCTATATTGCTCAAAACTGACTCTTGTGAGCTTTAAGCCATGTTAGAACATTTTTACCTCATCAAAACTTACCTGGAGTTGTGTTTTGTTTTGTTCACATACACTGCAAAAAGTACAAGTTAACATTGCTTGAATTTAGAACGTTTAGTCCTTTTAAATTTTACTTGACAAGGAAAATGGAACAAGATTTTTGTACTTAATTTAGCTACTTTTAACTTACCCAGATATTATTTTTTACAATGTATATAGGTGTAGCCCATCTACATTATATATTTTGATTAAATATTAAATTATATGGCACTTACCGATTACAGTATGCTAATTTAGTACATTTTGTATAGTAAATATGACTGTGATTTAGTATCATGAATGGCCAGAAAATGGGTGATGGCGAAAGTTGGGGGTCTGGCATTAAAAGTAGGTCAGACATTCCTCAAATGTACGGAACTGGATGGATAAATTAAATGTTGCAAAACTGAATTGTTCATGTAGATTATTTGACAGTACAACATAGGCAATTCCAGGGCTAAAATTATCCAAATGATACTTGTCGAGGTGTATGGAGTTGAAAAACACAGTGGAGCACTTCCTGTATTACTATATGACATCACACCGTTTTGCGCTTGAGAGAAGAACACAGCTTAAATATGCAAGATTTGTGTGTTTAAACTGTGTGAATGAAACAAAACACAACTCTAGATTAGTTTGTGATGAGGAAAGATTATAACATAGATCAGAAAATTGCATAATATGGGACCTTTAGCATGATTCTTAAACTTGTTGTTAGATTCTTAAACTTGTTGTGTTTCTTTTTTATTTGAAAATAGCGTGTTGTTTCTTAAAATGTGGTATGGCTTCCTTTGGGTGTACCCCCATAGACTAACTTGTATATTTTTTTCAATCCAGAATTGTATCCTTCTTTGGGTAAGATCTTGGTTAGTTACTGTTTTATAGTGTATTTGCACTTGCTCTTGACCTGTTGAACTCAAACTATACAAATGATTTTATTCAGGTTGGACTGAAAAAGTGGTAACAAGTTGGTTTTGTTTAGGAAAATAAAGTATGTGCTACATATCTATACATATCTATACATAGATATAAAGCTCTATAGATTAGCTATGGCTCATTATGCCTACTGCTTATAATGACGCCAGCAAAGGATTAGGAATTATAGCAGCAAACAGATGCCCATCCAGAGCAAACTGAATTCATTTCAAATATATTCTGTGATTAGTATTAAAAGCACTGTATCTGATTTTTTTTCTCTTTCCAAATGTGGAAAAGCAGAGTTATTTCACTGTAAACTCTTTGCACTAGTCCAAAGTTATTCCTCACTTCCCTTACGCAATTTCAGTTTAAAATCGCTTTCCACAACTTTCAGAGACCAGAGTGTTGTCGTCAGGTTAAAACTAACAACTAGCATGCTAAGACACACTTCTTTATTAAGAGATACTTGCTCATATACAGCAACAGAGCTCTTTTTTGTGATAATTTTTGTTGTCATTTCTTATTCTGACAGTGAATTATAAAACCGCTGTCAGTGCTCGGCCTAAAACAAGATGATGCTAGTGCGCTAAAACTGTTCTTGAAAACCAGGACAAAAGATGTGTCATGGCATGTTTGTTTGCATATAAATAAGGCTAAAATTAAATATACAAAATAAAGGCGACAAACCACATTGCTCCCTAGGCTATTCTTCACAGGCGCGTTTTGGCAGCGCAATCTTAAAAGTTTCATAAACAAGTTGGTGATCAGCTAAATATGTCATTGTGCTTTTCAATTAGAGTGGTACTTAAGTAAAATACATCTGTCTCAAAGGTTCACAGGAAATATTGTCATCGTATTGAAGAATATAATATAGCAGTAGTAGTATAGTAGTAGTAGTAGTAGTAGTAGTAGTATTGGGAGCAGTAGTAGTACTCAGTTTTGTTAAGTAAAAGTGCAGATACTGGCGCAAAAAAAAACAAATAAAACTCAAGTAGTAAAGTAAAAGTATCACATGAAAAAAAAAATCTACTTAAGTAAAAGTATTAAAGTGTCTGTTGACAAATGTACTTAAGAGGTAAAAAGTAAAAGTATTTCACACAGGTCTGACGTCTTATAAGGCTTAAAAATTATTGATTTTGATAAAGATTTGTGCTCAATTTTGTTCAGCATTTTATTCCTAGCTGGTTTTTTTTTGGTATATTTTTCTTTGTCCAAATTATTAATATGATCAAAATTACCCCTCAGAAAGTATCAACTACTGTATAACACAGGGGTGGGCAAACTACGGCCAGGGGGCCATATGCGGCCCTTTAATCTTTTCAATCTGGCCCGCTGACCCTGAAAAATAATAATAATGATTTTCAGTGTTTTAAGTAATTTCAATAAATAGTAAATACCGTTGGACTTGAAAGACAGATATTTTGTTGTAATGATTTTCAATTATGAGATATTTCAATAATGTAATATTATAACATGTAATTTTTTTCTGTTATGAGGTGGATTACCAAAAAACTCCATCCATCTGCTCCTGGTCCTTTCTGTCAAATTTTAGAACCCTTTGTGGCCCACGAAGCAAAAAGTTTGCCCACCCCTGGTATAACATCTACTTAAGTCAGATACCGAAGATTTATACTTAAGGATAGCACTCTACTACTTTTACATTACGTTCCACCACTGGTACCACTAGTAGCAGAAACTGATCAGTAGTAGTAATTACAACCTTCGTACAGTTGTATTATTTTGTAAAGTACCCTAGATGAGACATTTCTATTTTACTACAGCCCACTACTTTACTTTTTCTTTCAACAGGACATCAGATGGTACATTTCAGAGCGCTGTGTGTAACTATGGCAACTGTTAAGTCAATGTAAAGACTGTTGTGATATGTGGAAAGAGAAGATCACTTTATAGAAAATCTAATCTACAGAAAATGAATCTTGGGTTAAAAACATTGTCCAGATGAAGTTACATTTTGCTATCAGTAAAAAATTGCTATCGAGGAGCTTTGCAAAGTTCCAAAATATATAGTCTGTCTTTAAAGATACTGAAATATATAATGGCAATTTTTCAGCATAGCAGTCAAATGGAAACAGTCCACTTTGTGATGTCATGTGGTACTACAGCGCTCCATTGTGTTTTTAAACTCCTCATTTCATAATCATTTGGATAATTTCAGCCTTGGAATTACCAGTCTCTACTAAACAAAAGGTAAAAGGTAACTGTTAACTTGTAAACTACTGCTTCATGACATCACAAGGTGGAATAGAACTTTGGAGAGCTTACTCAAACATGTATGAATGAAACAAAACCCAACTCCAGGTGTGTTTGTGATAAGGAAACAGTATTCTAACACTGCTTAAAGCTCACAAGAGACAATGTTGTGTAATATAGGACCTTTAAGCATCTCAAATTCTACACTGAAGCGAAATATCTCCAAGTTATAGCATATACAAAATGTTCTATACAACTTTCTCTTATATATATGACAAAAACCTAAGTGCAGTTTTGACATATCTGACTGGTATAAATAAACAATCCATGGTTAAAGTTGCAGGATTTCTGAGCTACAGTGGTTAGCGGTAGCAGCTCAGTTTTCCCTTAAAGAGGTATTTGTTGTCAAAGCGGTGGACAGCTAGCTTACAGTACAGCGGCCCAGGAGCGGCAAATTGGCTCCAGTTATTGTCACGTCTGCACTCGCTGACAAAGGAGGAAGAGGAGAAGTCTAAAGATGTGGAGGAGGGGGGCTTTCACAACGTTTACTAGACAAACAGGCTGTGTGGGAGGGGAGAGAGGGGGGAGAAGAGAGAAAGAGAGGAAAGAAGGGAGAGAGGAAACAGGGGAGAGGAGTGAGAGGAAAGAGAGGGGATGGGAGGAGGGGGGAGAGAGAGAACAATCTGGGATATATCCTATACTGCTATCACTACTATTACTACTCCTACTATTGCTACTAGTACTACTACTGCTGCTACTGTTGTCCTGTCTTTTATATCTTTTCTTCAACTACTACTACTACAATTACTACTACTTTGATGACTACACTATTAGTCCTATTACTTCTACTACTTTGTTGACTACAGTATTAGCCCTACTACAACTACTATACTACTACGACTACGACTACTACTACTACTTTGATGACTACAGTATTAGCCCTACTACTACTATACTACTACTACTACTACTACTACTACAACTACTACTACTACTTTGGTGACTACAGTATTAGCCCTACTACTACTACTACTACTACTACTACTACTACTACTACTACTTTGGTGACTACAGTATTATCCCTACTATGAAAGTGGTGTGTGTGTAAGTGATGGTGGTGGTCGGAGGGGCTGATGGCGCCGAGTGGCATGGCAGCCGTGCTTCTGTCAGTCTGTCATCACCAGGTATAGAGCGAATGAATAATGCTGAATGAGTAATGCTGAATAATGCTCTGTAAAGTGTCTTTGGGGACAAAAAATGTCTGTGAAAAGCGCTATATAAATAAAGACTTACTTACTTACTAACTACGACTACAACTACTACTACTACTTTGGTGACTACAGTATTAGCCCTACTACGTCTACAACTACTTCTACTACTTTGGTGACTACAGTATTAGCCCTACTACTTCTACTACTACTACTACTTTGGTGACTACAGTATTAGCCCTACTACTTCTACTACTACTACTACTTTGGTGACTACAGTATTAGTCCTACTGCTTCTGCTACTACTACTGCTTTGGTGACTACAGTTTTAGCCCTACTACTTCTACTACTAGTACTTTGATGACTACAGTACTACAGTACTAGCCCTACTACTTCTACTTGCTTCTGCTACTACTACTACTACTACTTTGATGACTACAGTATTGGCCCTACTACTTCTACTACTACTAGTAGTGCTGCTAGTAGTAGTACTAGTAGTACTGCTACTACTATTACTACTTCTACTAATGTCACTACTACTACTGCTAGCACAGATATATTTTCTTATGGCTGCTGTGTAGTGCTTGGCTTGCCTCTGGTCCTGTATTGGAGACACAAAGCAGGACAGTCCAAATTAGGCGCTAATAGCTTGACTTCATTTGTGGTTGGGAGGACAGTGTCTGGGAGCCAGGCTGGGAGCTCTCCAGTCTCCTGTGTGGTTTTTTAGTGATTTTAAACAGGCAACATTTCACTTTAGGTGCCTCAGTCTTTCTTCCAATAACACACATTAAGTCATCACCACGGATACTTGTGCTTTTGAACATAGTGGAGTATAAGCAGGCTAGCAATTTGGTCTAACACCTCAGAATTTTATATCTTATTTTGTGGATTATTGGCATATGTATATATGGAAGAATAACTTTAATGATGGTATTTGAGTTGATAACTTTGAGGTGAGATTGCCTGAAAACTTGAAAAACCACATAGGCAGTAGGTGACAGAAATGGTAAATGCAGCATTCAGCTGTGGGAGCTTGGATCCGCTAAGTCAGTGATGTTTATGTCAAGCCGCCAACCTTCAGATCAGTGAACAAACTGTCTACCAATTGAGCTACTGTCAAAGAAAAACAATTATACTTAAAGCTGTCCCAGACACCTTATGCATAGTACACATTAAGTTCTCAGG